GTTGCGATTGTCACAGTAATTCCAATGAGGTGGATGGTTGTGACATTAACAAAGAGGAAATCGTGAGCCATGGCTTTTGGGATACCTAGTCGTAAATGTATTTCAAACTATCTCTGTAATTATCATTTTTAAACTTAGAACTTATTGTGAAATACACTTTACACTTTCACAATTTACAAATATGAATCCATGATACCATCTGTCTAGATTCTAGATGATACCACAAAAGGTTGTCAGATTCTTCAAAGTAAAAATCTATCACATTACGATTTGTGGACCAGAAATGAAATGCAATGTGGGTTAACTTCCTACTGTTCTAACTTGGTCAATGAAGATGGCTATTTGTCATACAGTGTGAAATGAGGAATAATTTGCCCAGACACAGGGGTCGAATTGCGGACCTTGTTGAGCCTTACACACCGAGCCACTATTTCGGCCCATTTGTGAACAAACAGAATAGGTAATTCTTAACAACTAGATATATTTGCAAAGATATATTAAAATTCCATACAGTTTTGCTGGAATAATATTAAATCTTGTTTTCTGTTCTGATTTACGAGATCTAGTATAATTAATTCCATCCTCCCCTAAAAAACTACTACACAATTTTATAATAAGCAAAGCCAATAGAAAGACTGACAATTGTCCCGTTTTGTTCTTAAGCAATCATCTACGATATTAAAAATCTATTTTTGGGGCAATCATCTACCAAAATCTATTTTTGAGGTAACATTTAAGTTTAGTGATCCTGAAAACCCCATAAAGGACATATTACAAGCCGTACAAAACAGAAAAATGACAATTATCTGAAAAATCATTCATTTTAGGGAAAATCTTGCCGCCATCTTGGATTTTGGAAACCCTTTTTTTAGAGGTTGTATTTATGTTCTGTGACATCGAAAACCCCTAAGCGGCATATTACAGGGCATATCAAACTGTAAAATAACGATTATCCGAGGCATCGATCAAATTTTGACTGCCATTTTGAATTTTCGCCATCTTGGATTTTGGGAAACTAATTTTATAGATCAATTCAAAGTACAATGACTACGGAAACCCTATATATGATATATCACAAGTCTTGCTTTGCGTGATACTCATCCATCCTAACAAGAAATTCATTTTTGTCAAATTTTGGCGGCCATTTTGGAAATCGGACGGATTCAACCGAAAATGACGTCACAGAAGTGACATAATATCAAAATCGTCTTCAGTGACAAATTTTTCTTCAGAAACAACCGGTCCCCAAATATCGTTGCGATTGCGACAACCCTAAATAAACGTCCACATGGTTAGTACCCTAACTCGCCGAGGCTCAACATTTTAAAATTGACAGTCTGCTCAAGACTTTTGTTGAGTTTCCGACCACCGCAGCTGTACAGACGGGGTCACTGAGCGTATTTATTTATGCCAAATGAATAACTTAAGAAGACCACACACAAAATTTGGCTAAATTTACCCTGAACATGATTTGGTAGTGAACTTATAAAATAAATCTTGAAAAAAAATGCCAAAACGTTGCTTTTTTCAGAATAATCTGTTGATTTGGAAAATATATGATTCATTTACCAACATGTGTCATATAACAGCAGCTGTAGAATGTTATTGCGAACATTTTGAGCCATATTCCATATCAATAGGTCAATCTGTGAAAGAGTTATGAAGGTTTCCTTGACGCGCTCAATTGCAATGAAAAAACGGCGGCCATTTTTAAAGATGGCCGCCAAAATGGCATTTAGCAAAGTGAACCGGAAGTCCATCAGCCAAATTTGAACACTTCGGGCACCAGGCTAACTGAAAATCATGGTTGAATTTATTCATCAAATTGGTAATGATACTCCGAAATCCGAGGTCTGTCACATGGACTAAATGAGGTATAAATTATGTTTACAAAATGCGGGATTCTTACACTTCAATGAAAGAGACAAAAAAGATTAAAAATAGAATACCTTATAAGATGCTGATACTGGGGAATCCGGTGAATTACAAGACAGTTATATATTTCTTCACCCAACACACGTGCCTCAAACTTCAAGATTAGGCGATCGATGATAATTTAAAATGCGTCACCTTGAAATTGGTATGAAAAAGTCATTCACGAAAACTTTATTAAAAACAACACATACAATCAAGCAGTGCTAAAAATAGATCTGCAGTCTAGACAAAAGGCCAATACAAGTAAATATATCAACCAGTCACATAATAATACTGCTTTCAATTTCAAAGTGGAAGAATTCCAATGAGTTTTTGGTTTTTGTAGGGGTGGGGGTCACTCTGAAAAAATCTAACTGACGCTCAAACTGCATCATGGTCCACTCCACACTGCGTACCATTCCCCTATGGTGACCCTCACCAGGCCCTCTTTTCTCTCATACTAATTCACGAATTGCCACTATCAACCATTCCGTTGGATGTACACGAGACCTCAGTTTTTCGTCCCCATCCGAACGTCTTGACATGGTTCGTTCCTTGCCTGACTCTCTGTCCTGCATCACAGACAATGAGATAGTAACACCGGGATAGTAACCCGGACGTTCTGGTCAGAGAGCAAGGTCATGGCACTATCTCTATGACACAAACAGGTCGATAGATAGAATAGTTTTAAAGGCCTTTCGACTTTTTGATCTACGTCTGTTGGGAGGAATTTATAGCCCGTCATTTTCTTAGTTTCTTAGCTGATTCCTTTTATTTATATCTGTCTTTTTTCCCCAGAATTTACTGCCTCAAATTCTTTCATCTACTGCCTCAAATTCTGAAATTCCTGAATATTCAGTACAACCTGACAGAAAATGTAAATTCAAACGCCTTTTTATCGATTTCAGAGTAAAATGTCAACAAGAATTGAGATGCTCGTTGGGTAACAAAAAATGCTATAAATAAATGAACTGGGGTACCGAAATAAAGGAAAGCCATTACTAGTCTTTGTACTTTTTACACAAATTTATTTTTATTACAGATACAAAGTTATATTTTATATGTCTCAAGTCTAGATCTTGTTCCTTTTATTGATGTTTTTAAGTAGATCGAGACATTTGTTATCTTAGCTTCAACTACAGGGATACTTGCCCACTAAACTTAGAAAAACCTCCAAAACGTTTTTTGGCCGCTAATCAACTTGATTAGTTAATATAACATGTCTCTTTTGACTATTATTCTAGATATATTTAACTGACGCTTATAATATTTTCCTGATTATGTCTACATCTGTTAGTACTGTTCATCATGTACATTAAGCATATGGACAGTCCATTTGCTAATAGGCTATTTTACCGAGATTTCGTCTAATGGCATGGATGCAGCTATGGCGGGTGTGTGCCAGGCAGGGTAAGCTTACTCTTCCGGTCACCTGCTACAATGTATTTTGCACAGGGTGAACCGTCCATTTGCCGATTACACTATGTTGCTGATACCGTATTTTAGGACTTCGAATTTTGTCAAATAGTTTGGATTGTTCGTACTAGGTTTTATTTTATTTTCATTACCGATTAAGTCTGTCCAAACAAATAAAGGATAGAACAATGTTGAATAGTTGAATAAATGGCACCCGTTTAACCTTTAATTGATATAATAAGTATATAATATCAGCGAGTTCTTATAATTTTTTTTATTTTTCAGAAAACGTCCCCAAGAATCCAGTGTATTTTTCACCAGGACAGCTGATAATATCTGGTTTTCAATTTTCTGTATCCTTTAAAAAGACCACTTTAGAGCAACGGTTGCAAAAAAGATGACAACAAACAGAAGTTAATAATCAGAAACCATCGTTTGTATTAAATATGATTTTGTCAACGTGTTATGTATTATATTGGGTGTATCACGATGTTAATTAGAGTTGAAAATAGTGACGTGTTTATTGTACATTGAAGATGCATTATTCAAGAGCTAAATCTAACTAATGCAGATATTTCGTTTGGCCTCAAATGTTATATTATAAATCATTAATTAGACATTTATTTACATGAAAGCGTATAATCAACTCACTAGAACTTCGGGTGATGTTCATTTTCAACAGATTTAAATACGATTGGCATCTAATGATTTAATTAAAAAATGGATAATCGAGACTTTGTTTGTTATGGTACCAACAGTAGCCATGACAACCGATACTACACCGTGCTTCCAACGATGATTCCAACCTCGTGGGTTTCCTCCCAGTGATAAAGACCCCTACGCGCAAGCGAATTATTGAAATAAAATTAAACCATATCTTAGTCCAGAAATGACCTAGTTTGTGTCGAGTGGACGTTAAACCCCATTTCTCTCTCTCTCTCCAACGACGATAACTCAGAATGAAGTAATTTTACTGAAATTTTCAACAAATTCCTTTTTCCTTATTTTTGTTATGGTAACAACGGTAGCCATGACAACCGATACTACACTGTGCTTCCAACGACGATAACTGAACATATTCCTTTTTGCTGATCTATATTGTAACTGTATGATATGTGCGACACTTATCTTGTGCCACGGCCCCAAAAAGACAGATAATATATACTACTGTGTATTCGATCCACTTGATCCGATGTCACAGCTCCCAATCCTCGGAATACCTGTGTTGTTATGTAAGGTATAAGAAATACTGGAAACTATAACATCTATGATAGCATATAACGGTTGAAATCCTACATATTGTCTCTATGTAGCCGAAGCGGCTATACTAAGTGTACGTCTCTAGGAACGCCTTATGGTGATCACCCTCCTAGCCTCATATTGCAATATTATATGCGTTGCAACCCATTTGTCTCAATTTCTAGGTCCCAAATATTAGCGATTTAGCTCCTTTAAACTCCGCTGGTAGACAACCACGTGTTTATAGGGCCACCAGTTCGTCGGGAAATGTGAGGTCATTCATCCATTAATAGATTTCTATGTAATGTCTCTCTCTGAAATTTACTATTCAGCAAGGTTCGCCTCATAAATCTGGTATAAATTCTGTTTACAAAATGCGAGCTTCTCCCAATATGATAAAAGAGATAAAAAAAAGATTTAAAATAGAATACCTTACAAGACGCTGAGACTGTTGAGAGGAGATTCGATGAATACCAAGACACGTGGCTCAAACTTTAAATCGGGTATGTCCAATTATAACAGACGAGTTCACTATTTACAGTATATACAACAAATTACATTAACACAAATGGTTTACACTATATAAACTATATTATGGTATTGTCCACATTTTGTTCCAAGCAGCTTGGATGTTGAAAAGAATAGATTAAGTGAAGATTGATCTTGATCCTTTTTCCGGGGCAGCTCTGTATTGACTGTGGACAACTTGGCGTTGGCTCCAACTTACTGCAACTGATAGTCTCGGTCACCCAGAACCCCCTAGTCTTCAACGTATTTGTCTGGATGATAAAGACTATGCAACGGAAAGTGGTCGCCCTGGGCGCCTCTTACAGCACCTAGTGAGCTAGTTGCTGTCCTAACGACGCCTCATCGGACTCTTGTCCTCACATCGTTACTGTCGTCCCTATACACATGTAATATGAAAATAACGCTTTACACCATCTCGGTTCTAGGGCTATTTTGGAATCTTTACCCTCACCGTGATTCTTCTTTGTTCGCCAAAAGGAATCATTTCTCGAAACATCTGACAATAATCGATAACAATTCAACACTATTTTTAAGTAGAATTTTGCGATTTAAAAACACCAACAAATTCATTTGAATTGGGCTGCCATGAATACCCATGATGAAACCCACGCTTGCAGAGAACGGATATTTTTTCTGCTACTTGTTTCAACTAGCGGCGACTTGGTGCCGTCGACATTCGAGCCCATATGATTGGTTTGCAAAAGCTATTTTGAAAGCTGGCGATATATTTAGCTCCTTTCAACGAATATTTGGCTCTTAACCACCGGTTTTTTGACTCATAGCCAAAGAATATGTAGCTCATATCCAACGAATATTTAGCTCATTGCCAATGAATTTTATTTACATGTAATATGAAAACTGAAATGAAATGCGGTCTAATCTCCAACTATTCTCCCGGACATTTTGCCCGAACTGCGGTATTCCTGTGCGTTTCCGCCCAAGGGCCTGGTGATGATGAGTAGCAATACAGTCACCGGCACAGTGGATTTGTTTGCACAGCGAACAAAACATCTTCATGCTTACAAAAAATACTACTACATTCATTTTTGAGGTTGAAGAAATCCAATGATTTTTTTTTTATTGTTGTAGGGGTGGGGGTCACTTTGGAAGATGTAACTTACGTGTTTGAACACTGACGTTCAAACTGCACCATGTTCCACTCTCCAGTGCGTACCATTCCTCCTATTCATGTGTACTTTTACGCGACATACTTTTATGCCAATGTCTCGGTCATACTAAACCCCAAATGACCACCACTAGGCCCCTATTTCAGCCTACTAATCCACGATTTCCCACTATCAAACGTTCCGTTAAAGATACATTATATAAGATTTAGTTAAAGAGCTGACCGTTCTTGCTATAATGCAGTAGCTCAAAAATATATAATGTAAAATGAAAATTTCATTCAAATTACTTCATTCTGAGTTAAGTTGTCTGTTTGTAGTTTTGACACGATCTGGCCTAGTGGTAACCAGGGCATTGGTATATTCGAGACTTAGCCTCGTTTTCCCATTTTTAGATTAAATTCTTAAATGGCGAACCGTTCTAATCAAGTTAAAATCTCGAGTATCTGTGATACAGTGATACAATACATAACTCTTATTTATTAAAAAGATATTTCAATACTGGATAACATATTTACAGGTACAATTCTACATATGAACATCATTTGGTTGGGTATAGTTACGTCTATCTATAGCTGCTTCTCCTGGGCCTCACAGGACCCCTGTTCTCCGGGGTCGAGGGCAGGCCCTCTCCCGAGGTCCGGGCCGAATTCTCTCGACGTCTCTACAGGTCTCGCCCGTCTCTCTCCAGGTCTGCCTATCTGATTCGTTCGTTCGTTTCTGGTGTTTTACGTCCACTTCCACCTAAGGTGATATCGTAGACAAGCCTATCTGATTCTCAACTAGGCTTTTTATAAGGTGCAGCAATATCTGTCGCGTCAGATAGGCACGCCCTAGTTAATAGCATTTGTAATCAGAACAATGATAACTAATTATTAAGATTCAAACATCTTATCTTTAGACAAAAGGTGTCGATACGTGTTAAGCCTAAATCTTATATCATATACTTGTCTAAAGACAAACCGAGCAAATAAGTTTGACAACCCATTATATCTTACATAATAGTATGTCATAACCCTCACAGCTGATGCAGATTAAATTTTTAGATCCCAAATGATATTGTATTACATATCCGATGCCATCGAGAGTTGGTTATTTGTATACTTTCGATGGCCTACACTACATGAAGATCTGACCGGTTGTACTGGAAGGTCGCGTCAGTGGTCGTGAGTGCGACTTTTGAACCTATGACGCCAGACATTGATTAATCAATGAGCTTTGACGTTTCTAGTGGTTTAGCCACAGTTCTGTACATCGCACTCCAAGAACTCGCCGTAGCCGACCGTTTTACCGGCTAACCCCTGACTTCAACCAGAACGCCGGTATTATAACAACTCTTCCAGATCCTAGTGTAGTAAAGACAAGTAAAACGAAATTTGGACTATAAAAACGAATTAAAATAGGGTCTGTGTTTTAATCAGATTGAATGATATATAAATCATGGCATTATGGAAGATTAGATAAAGGGTTGGCAGTTTGGGCTATAATAGCTAAAAAGAAATAGATAATGTAACGGAAATATGCTGAAAATTTCAGTCAAATTTCTTCACACTGCGCCCAGAAATACTCATTTTAATAACATTGTAGCATCTATTTTCATTGTCAACAATGGCCGTTGAAAATCGGACCCATCAAATGGTACCAAGAGATGATTATGGTCTTGTCATGTTAATAGTAATAAATGTCTAATTAATAGTTTATATAACCTTTAGGGTCTAAATAGCATTTAGGGTCTTGTTAATAAATTTCTAATTAATAATTTATATAACATTTCAGGTCTAACGAAAGATCTGTAATAGGCAGATTTAGCTCTTGCATAATGTATGTTTAAGTGTACCGTAGTAATGTGTACACGGGACCTTGGTTTATCGTCCCATCCGAACGTCTAGACACTATTTCTTAGAAATGTAAAAACACGTTGGTTAAGTCGCCCACATGACATAGTTTACTTTCGGGACACATCATCATTCCCCCATTTTCAACTCTCACCTCGACCCCTTCCCCTCTCACACCCACACCGCCTTCCAGATCACTGTGAAGGAAGCAGGGTTGGGCAGTTCTATCGGACAATCTTGACAATAAAACTGCACACTCCCCTACTCTGGCGACGGTCTAGCACATATGACGTCATATGTGGGTTAGATTTAAAAATTTGGGGGAAGAAATGAAATGAAATGGGGTTTAACGTCCTACTGTTCTGCTCCTATGCTGGGCTAATGAAGACGGGCATACACCATACAGTGTGCTATGAGGAAAATTTTGCCCGGGCAGCGGCACTATCGCCTACTCTTATATCGAATTCCAACTGCCAAGGGATCTTTTATGTGCATTCCAATGTATACACGGGACCTCGGTTTTTCGTCTCATCCGAAGCACTAGACAGCTGTCCTTGTCAGGCCCTCCGTCCTGCATCACTGACAAGGGATTGAGTCCCCACATAAGCACTTACCTAGAATGATGAAAATTTCGTTCGTAATATTTTCTGGTGGGCAAAAGCTATTTTGAAAACTGACGTTATATTTGGTCCATAGCCAAGGAATATTTGGCTCATGGCCAAATAATATTATTTAATATATGAAACTGAAATGAAATGGGTTGTCCGTACTGCGGTGTTTCTGTGCGTTTCCGCCCAGAGGCTTGATGAGTACGTGAGTAGCAATACTCATGCGCCACTGTCACAGTGACTTTAGCTATCATTTATGCGACAGAAATCAAAAGGGATTTTTTTTTCTTTTGCATAGTAAACAAAACATCTTATATTCTTAAAAATATATATACCACTTTTATTATTGAGGTTGAAGAAAAAGTAGCTTACGTGTTTGAGCATCCTCCTGTTTATGTGCATTTTTACGCCATAATATCTCGGTCGTACTCAACCCCAAGTGACCCTCTTTCCGCCTATCCACGAATTCCCACTGTCAAGCGTTCCATTAGGTGAACGCTAATGTGTACACCGAACCCGGGTTATCGTCCCCACGCTGTTCCTTGCCTGGCTCCCTGTAATATTTTACTGACATGAAGAAACCAACCTTGCTATTCACAAAATCCCGACAGAAAAGGTAAATTCAAACACTCTTCCATTGTTGAAGTGAAAGAAATTCCTTGAGTTTTTATATTGTTGTGGGGAATGAGTGTGGGGTGGAAAATGTAACCTAGGTGTTTGAAGACTGGCGTTCAAACTGCATACTGTTCCACTCCCCACTGCGTACCATGTGCATTTTTGCGTCACAATGCCTCGGCCCTAAAATTAGTAAAGTGTTTATTTAATATATTAAATCTAGTAATATAAGACTATATTTTTCAGGACGGGCATAAATACAACCGTTATTTTAATATTATACCTGTAAGATTATGAAGGTAAGCAGTGTCAACATGCGTACCATATTATATAAATCAATATTTAACAAACAATGGCTACATGTCACTAGTTTTAGTTTCACAAGACAATCGATTAAGTGATATAAATTTCATCTTAACACACCTAATTTAAAAAATTCAACTAAATGATTTGAAAAGCCTGACGTAAAGCTTTTCAAATGTGACATGGATTTAAAAATATTTTTGAACCCTCTGGACAAGTAAAATAGGATTTAATGGATAATTTACACAACAGGTAAGACACTAACACATCTAGTACTTAGAATAAGGCTATTTTTTATTTTCTGATGCTGTGAAGCCAGCAAGAGTGTTATTGCCCCTTTAAGGGGGTATTCTGCAAGAGCTAAACCTGCCTATTTTCTGACTTCAATTGGTATATAAAATATTCAGATATTTATTCACATAACAGGACCATAATCAACCAATAGACACCACAGACAGCAAATGCACACATCAGATTAAGTGAATGGATCCGGGGGCAAACCGTAAGCGTCCACTGCATTAAGCAATTTATATATTGTCATCAAATACACCGAAATAATATATTATAGTAAAAACAATTATTTGAGAGCAACAAATCTTGAATGAGATCTAAATGAAGTACTGGTATTTATAAAAATAATTTGGTCTATCCT